AAGGCAGTCACAAAAGGACAAATACTGTATGATTTCACTCACAGGAGTTTTCTAGAATAGGCACATTCACCAGCACAGACGTAGGTTTGCGGTGACCAGGGTTGCTAAGGGAGGGGGGCGGAATTGGGAGTTAGTGCTTCCTGGTCACTGAGTCTCTGTCTAGAGTGATGAAAAGTTCTAGAAATACACAGTCATGACGATTGTACAACATTATGAATGGTCATTAATGCCACTGAATTGCATTTTTAAAAATGGTTAAAATGGAAAATCTTATGTTACATATGTCTGCTGTGATAAACATGTTAAGATATTATACCCTTTGGTGTAACTATTTTGATATGTTTCCCTGATTTACATTAGCAGCGTAACAAACAAATCAAGAAAATGCCAGATAAAAATCATGAAGGATTCAAAGCTTAAAAAACTCACCAAGTTTAAAATTAAACACCCAAACCACTGGTTCTGCTATGCTAACAATAACCACTCCTAGATCCACGGTAAGTAAACACGGTGCCAGAACAGGCACCAAGAAGAAAACAACAGAAAACAGAAAAGGTCATAATATCTTGACAAGCCAGCAAATACAGTTATAGCCTGACTGCAGACAACAGAGCCAGCGCCAGGTGTGCCAGAGGGGACAGTTTCAGCTCTGGGACTCCAGCTCCGCCACAGAGCACCCGCGGGTGCCCGACGGCCTCTGCTGACACTCGGGAGTGAAGTGACAAGACTGTCAAGGAAGAAGCATCTCCTGCAGAATGAAGTCCTCCTTTCCTCACTGGCTCAGTAAAGAGGCAGTGCCAAAGCGGCAGCAGGGGAAGGCGGGGCTCTGACCATTTGTCCTGGAAGATCGAGGACACTTAAATGATTCCAAGGTACTCAAGAGGCCCTGGGCAGCACATGCAAATTTAAGAAGCAGCCACAATGGTCTATTATAATAGGCTCCCGATTCCCTCCTGGAGAGCCAACTCTGGAGAAACAATAAAAGCAAGCAAGAAACCTGAAGGAGCAGAACGAGAAGACCCTAGGGAGAGGGAAGGGTATCTTGAACTGGGGCGCTGGAGGAAGGGGGCGGCAGACAGCCGCTGGAGGCAGCAGTCAGATGTCAGGCTGAAGGAAGGTTTTAAATTTCTGCTCCTGCTCCTCTTCAGGGGTCGGCCCCGGGACAATCACTTCTTGCAATTTCACGGCCAAAACCAGCCAGCAGCAGGCAGGCGGTGCGGCCAGGGTAAATCCAGGTCAGCAGCTCTGCCCCTCCAGTGTGAGAAATCAAAGGAACAGGCAGACGTGTCCCTTGCCCTCAAGCACTCACTCTCTCTCCTCTCCTCCACCAACGCCTCAGGGCTGCTGGGTTGTCACCTCAGGAGACTGCCTTCTCCTGGGCTGCTTTTCCCTAAGAGTTTAAAAGGGAACCACGGAGTGCAGCACACAGGGAGGAGCAAGAGTAGTTCTCTTACCCTTGAAGCTTTTAAACGCACAAGACTGATACAGACTGGAGCCTGGTGTCCAGCCTTCTCCAACAGACATTATCAGAGTAGCTGCCAATTAACTAGACATCCAAAGAGTGTAATTTCCATGAAAGACATTCAACTGGACAGCATACAGCATGTGAAGCAAAATACTGAAGGCCACTCAAGAATTTAAAATAAACCTAGTAAATATACATAAGATAGGAAAATATTAGCAATATGAAACAACAAAAGATAAGAACCAAATGGAAATGACAGGTATTAAAAATATAATAGCTGACATAAAAGTAGGCCATCTACCAAAGTAAGACAGAGACGGTGACTGACCAGTGAGCGGAAACGGTCAGCTGAGGAACTCTCCCAAACAAATTCAAAAAGAGATTAAAAAAACATAAAACAAAAAAGTAAGAGATACAGAGAAAGGAAGTAAAAGTGCCAAACTCTGAATAACAAGAGCCCCAGAAAGCGAGAGAAGTCAAAATAGAGAAGAGAAAATATAGGAGGAAAGAATGGATGTAAATTTCTAGAATTAAAAATAAAGGGAGAGCCCAGAGTGAAAGGGCAAGCCATCGTGACACAGAACTTGAGTTCTGCACAAGAGCAACATGACGTGGCCCAGGGCTGGGGAAGGAGGTGGAGATGGGGAGAGACAAGAATATGAGAGCACACTGAATCATTTGTCTTGCCAGATGAAGACACACATGCTGTTAACCTTAAGAAATCAACATAGATAAATAAGTATGTGCACAGTTCATGAGTTCACGGCATCTATAACGGGACAAAAATAGAATGTATAACTTCCAAACCACGGAAAGAAGAAGACTAAAAAGAAATAAAAAGGAAATAGTCTAAATGTATAAATACGAAATAAAAGAGCAGAAGTAAGTCCTAATTACAACAAGAATTACTATACTTGTAAATGGGTTAAATAAGCTTATTAAAGGATACTGCCCATCAGATTCGATTTTTAAAAAGCAAACTAAAATAATATGCTATCTACAAGGTATACTTAAAACAAAAACTTACAAAAGGTTGAAAATAAAAAGATGGAAGCACATGCCCAGTCAAGTGTGAATCAAAAGAAAGCTGGAATGGCAATCTTAGTATCTGACAAAATTCAACATAAATGTATAGTGAGATATGAAGATAGAGACGCAGAGAGAGCACGTGTGTGTGTTTGTGCGTACACATATAGAGAGAGAAAAAGTAAAATAATATTATTTATTAAGATGTTTGTAAAATGTTGTAAAACGAGAGACACTGTATTCAGCAAGTTGTAAAATGAGAGATACTATATTCAGCTAAATCAAATGCAAAATGTCACAAACTTTTTAGAATAATGTGAATTCACTTCTCTTAAGTGAAGTTGAGAGAAAAAAAGTGACCAAATGGTTTTTAAGGAGTTTAAAAAAAAAGGTGGAGGGCTAAGAAAAATTAACTGGATAGACTGAAGAAATATGTATAATTATTTTTCAGGTGAATTAATCTTACAACAGGATGACCAAATTAGCCTAAATAAATATATTTCTCTTCCTGACATGTTGTTAATCACTGTGCTTAATCAATCAGTGACCATAGGTTTCAACTGACAATGGCTACGTGGCTTTATCAAGGACTCACAACTAAAAATGAAATGACTAGTGAGTGGGGATCAGCTAATGTGACACTAGATGTTCACGTGTTTCTTGTCTGTACGTTTTCAGCAGACGAACATGATTTCACTCCCTCAATATACAGCAAATTCCTGATTCAATAGGGACTGTAATTACAACCACTCTGTACAACCAAAATAGGAAGTACCTCACAACTCCTTAGAGCTCTCTTCAGTGTCATTCAGAATTGCGCAGGTTTATTTCCTAGTACTTTCTCAAGAGTTTTCAGTTAAAATACAGTATGAAAATGAGGGAAAACTCGAGGTGGCATTTCACATGGAAGACAGTAAAGACACCTTCCCACAATAGCCTTTTGTCTCCATAACAACTGGAACGCAGATCCTTTTCATCCCAAAGCTTTACTGGTTACTGACTTATACTTTAAAAGGATCTCATGAAATTTACTTTAGATACTATGGTAATGCAATAAAGTTTTTTTTTCTCTTTTAACGTGTGTTTTTGTAATGACAAAAACAGCTGAACTCACATTTTCCATTGTGATATCATTTGAGACATTCAGCAGATTCACACTTTTGTCGACAGCTACAATCCCAACTGCTGAGTCTGGCTGTGTCACAGAGATCCTCAGAGAGACTTTCTCAGATGGTTCAGCATTAGCTTTACTCCAAAACAGCTGTATCTGAGAAAGGGAGAAAACAGGATTGACATATTGTACTTTTTCTTTTTAACACATTTCTTACATATCTTATCCATAGCAGATCAATGGCAAAATCTAGCGAAGATTCTACATTTGCCTTGGCTCGGGGACCATTCTAAAGCCATACATAAGCCTTCTCTAGGGAAAGGAGTAAAAAGGAAACTTTGCTCCCAGTGTTTGCAAGTCAAGGAACCTCTCACAGTGGGAAAAATCTGAATTTTCCTTCCCTTCTCTACCTTTCTTCTTCCCTTTTTCCATCTCTCACCCCGCCTCCAGCCAGTGCTGAAGAGAAGATAGCATCTGGCTAAATGGGGAGGGCCAGTATCCAGGAGAGGGGACAGGGAGGACGAAAGACACTGCAGACGTCTGCACATTGGCCACCTGGACTAGAAGTGAGTGCATGCAGGTGAGCGCCCTGGGGACTCACAGAACTGCCTGAGCTGGGGTTGGGGGTCTTTCCAAGGGAGGAGATACTCAGACCAGACCCCAGGCAGGGCCCGTGCTCTGTCTCCAAGGCTGCTTCTGTCATTACACTCAGCAAAGCACAGTGCTAAGGTCCTCCTTCTTCAAGAGCGTCAATCCTCTCATCACAGCTGAACTGAATGGCTATGTCATGAGGCCTCTTCCTATTAGGAACGTTCATCTTGTCCAGCTTAGTTGCGACATTCCACTGCCCCAGAGACCTTACAACCTGACCAAGATGGCTTTAAATGTTCCCCTCAGCTTACTTGAACTTTAGACAGCTTCTTCCTGCGGCTAAGTCCCTCAGTAGAAAGCCTGCAGTTGTAAATTTTTTCACTGCCCTTTGAGGTGTAAATCTTTACCCAGCCTCCTGCCAGTTTGACAAGCAGGCATGTCATTCTCAAGGACCTGGGAGCCATCCTTTCAAAGTGTGATCATCCAGAAAGAGCCCTGATGGATCTCCCAGGTTTTATGGGCCCAGAGGAGCATAATGTACAAATGCCAGCTGGGAAACACATAGTCTGATCACACTGACAGCTCCGCCCGCCCCAGTGTCCTCCAGTTCTTTTCCTCCTGCCTTCAGTCTCAGTGGAGTTGAGTTCAGTCTTGCTCCTCTGCTGTAACTGTCTTGAATAAAGTCTTCCCATGCTTGTTTAACTTGTCCAATGTAATTTTTCTTTGATATGCCTCTTGAGCCACTGTACCCCTGGTTTACTTTACTCCACTTACACCTCAAACAAGGGTGGAGCAGGCAGGGGGAGCATCATAGTCAAACCTTGAACTTCTCACACTTTACTCTGCACTTCAGGGACCCCATGGCTCCAACCTGCACTTCTGTGTGGATGACTTCTAAACTTACATCCCATGCCCCTTCCACATCTCACTCACTGATCCCAGTCATTATTGAACATCCACAAAGATTAACTAATTTTCTCGTGCTTAAACCTATTTTATTTCCAAATACATAATTCCTTTGGGAGTAATACATGGTAAACATGATCATATAAAAATCAGAGGAAGAATTATCTTTGCAAACACAACTGAAACTAATTTCTCATCCCTCAGACCTAAGACATTCCTTGGAAGTATGTTATTTACACACTCTGCTTCCTCAAAGCAGAAGACCTTTTACACTGCAACTTTTTTTTAGAAGTGGGACTCACATTCAGAGATCTGTGCCTCCATACTCTGTGTTTAAGCCTTACACCTACTTTAAAATTCACCTTTATCAGGGGATTAATGGAGTCACTAGAAGTCAAAAATAGTGCTCTGAAACTAACAGAGTATAGCATTGTCTTTTACAAAATTATTTTCATAAGACAGAAAATTTGTATTATATTTTGACAATCAAAGTTAGAGGTGACAGTTCTCAACAAAAGAAGGCATGGATGGTGACTGCTACTTCTCAAAATTTCAATGAATTAAGGGGAAAAATGCTATCAAAAGAAATACATTCTGCAATCACTACCTTAAAATAATGATTATTTTGCTTCAGCGCTCCTGAGAAGGCAGCAGCTTTTAGTGAGAACGATGGCTCAGTTCAATATGAATGAGATCATTCACCTCCACATGTCAGTCTTGCAATGGTGACTTCTCAGAGCTGGGGCCTAAAGGGTTTTCCTACACAAGCTATACACCTTAGGTTATAAAAATCACTGCTGCATTTGGAGACCAAATTCCACACAGATCTCCACATGCAAAGTAGTCAAGCTCACTGTAAATTTGTCCTGGGTTAGTTTCCAGGCTGATGAAATGAATAAACAAAAGCCCAGCCCTGCTTCCACACCTCACTGCAGACGGCCTCACTCCCTCCTTCACTTCACTCCCACACCGGTGTCAACACCACATAGACTCTAGATTGCCACTGGAATTCCATGCAACATAATACTGACACCACCATTGGGGAAATCCTGAAAGAGCTTCATGGATTTGCATTTAAGTCTAAAGCCAAGAATTGTAACTTACAAAGAAGCCTCACAGTGTCCAATAATTCCATATGTGAAGAAGGTATATAATAATTATATATGAAGAGATTTATCCATAATTCTAGAAACGAATATAAATTTCTAAAAATTTAGTTTAATGGTACTTTTCTAAAGAAGGATTACATTTCTCAGATTTCACTAATAGGAAGTTTTCTTTTTAAACATCATTACCACAAATCTTACCTTATTTTTAAAAACAAGCTGAATAGGAATTCTGAGAACATCATTTATAATTTCCCCATCATCTTCAATGTAATACACAATGATGCAGGCTTTTGGAGCCCAAGAATTCTCTGGTGTTAAGGAGAAGGTTGTTGAATTTTGCTTGCCTACAGCCACCAACTGTCCCCTGGACACCACCTGAAAATAGGAGATGAGTCTCATTTTATGCTAAAGCGAGTGAGAATCTCAAAGGCAGCTGATTGATCATAATTTTGAGCATATACACAAATCCTTGACTTAAACCTACTTCAAACCCTTTTTGAATGCAAAAAAAAAAAAACCCTCCCTGAGCAACACAGAGAGTATAAGTTGGTAATTACAAAAGGATAAAATAAAAGAATAAAAATAATTGAGGCAACAGCAGCTTGACGGTCGAGAATCTAAGTGGAAGGAATGCAGAGCACCATTGGGAGAGTAATAATTTTTATTTTCTTTTTGTTTTTCTTTTTTTTAATTGTTTTAATTATTATTTGGGGAGGAGGTAATTAGATTTATTTATTTATTTTTAGAGGAGGTGCTGGGGATTGAACCTAGGACCTTGTTCATGGTAAGCATGCCCTCTACCGCTTGAGCTATACCCTCCCCTGTTTTTCTTCTATTTTATAGTTTTCCACAATGAATGTGTGTGTCTTATCTCACAGAAATTTAAATTTTACACATAATGCAAGATTTCATTATCCATCTTAAACTGGAAATGCAAACGTAGGTGAAGGAAGCAAAAAACACATAGTTTGATTTCGATATAAAAAAGAAAGGCTAACAAGGTGTGAGGCTGAATTTTAAAAAGCAGTGAGTTTAGTTTAGATATAAGGTAGACATTATTTAAGAAGATTCTGTAATGGATCATAAATTTAGATTCTGTAAGAGATTACCATGTAGCTTAACTCCTTCAATTGCTTGTTGCCACTAACCACCAACTCAAAAGGTGATCCCACCTAGAAAAAAGCATTTCATTAATACGCACATGTCAATGGCAAGA